CCTCACGTCTGTGTGGGTGCCATCCATGGCTGACACTGACCCCTTATGCGTGCCTGGCCAAATGCCACCCATGTCCCTTCATCATCCCTGGCGACATCAACCCTGACCCTGCACCCACCCATATGCCACTCATGACCCTTCTGCTGGGTGACACCAACCCTGTCCCCAAACCCAGCTGGTATCAGCCATGTCCCTTCTCCGAGGTGGCACCAACGACTTCCCATCTCCCCACCCCATCCCCACTCCTGGCCGAGTGCCACCCACATCCCTTCTCCTGGGGACACCAACCCTGTCCCCACACCCAGCCATGTGCCACCCATGTCCCCTCTCCTGGGGCCCACCACCCCACGGTGCCCCGTGCCACTTTTTTGTCCCCAGGTGATCACCGCACAGCAGCTGCCCAAGTTGAACCGGGAGAAGGGGAGCTCCATCGTGGACCCCTTCGTACGGGTGGAGATCCACGGCGTCCCGGCCGACTGCAGCAGGCAGCAGACCCACCACAAGCTCAACAACGGTGAGCGCCCGCTGGGCCACCACAGCCTGGTCATCGGTCCCTGGGGACACCCCAGGGCACCCAATCTTCAGGGGCACCCCAGAGCAGTCAGATCCCTGGGGACATGCCAGGACCCCCCAGTCCCTGGGGACACCCCATGGTACCCTGATCCCCAAGGTAGCTCAAGGCACCCAGTCCTCAGGGGGACACCAGGGTACCCTGATCCCTGGGGACACCCCAGGGCACCCAGTCCTCAGGGACACCCCAGGGCACTCTGATCCTCAGGGACACCCAATCCCTGGGGACACCCCATGGCACCCTGATCTCCAGGGGTGCCTCAGGCCACTCTGATCTCCAGTGACACCCCAGGGAACCCTGATCCCTGGGGACACCCCAGGGCACCCAGTCCCTGGGGACACTCCATAGTACCCTGATCCCCAGGGGCACCCCAGGGCACCCTGATCCCCAGAGGTGCCCTAGGCCACTTAGATCCCAAGGAACACCCCATGGCACCCTGATCCCCAGAGCATTCCAGAGCACCTGGTCCTCAGGGGCACCCCAGGGCACCTCAATCCCCAGGGCACCTCAATCCCCAGGGTACCCCAGGGCACCCTGATCCCTGAGGCAGCTCAGGGCATCCAGTCCTCCGGGGCATCCCAAGGCACCCTGATGCCCAGGGACACCCCGTGGCACCCTGATGCCCAAGGTAGTTCAGGGCAACCAGTCCCCAGGGGCACCCTAGGGTGCTCTGATCTCTAAGGGTGCCCCAGGCCACTCCAATCCCTGAGGACACCCCATGGCACCCTGACCCCCGGGGGGTGGCAGAGCCCTCTGGCACCCAACACCCCAGGCACCCGCTGCCCCCTGCACTGCAGTTGCCATCACCAGTGGAGCCGGTGCCCAGAATATCCCAGTCCTCCCAGTGCACCCCAGTCCCACAGTGCCCCAGTCCCAGCACAGCCTGATCCACACCAGTGGCAGCATCCCAGTACATCCCTGTCCTCCCCAGTGCTGCTCCCTCCTGCCCTCCAGTATACCCAGCCCAAGCCCAGTGTGACCCCCATTCCCCCAATATACCCTATCACAGTCCCAGTATGACCCCCATTCCCCCAGTATAGCCCAGTCTGGCCCCAGTATGACCCCTATTCCCCCAATATACACCATCACAGTCCCAGTATGATCCCCATTCCCCCAGGA